CCCCCAATCGGTCGCGCCAAACATCAAACATCGGCCACGACCCTCTCCGCCCTGGCATGGCCTCCAACTGCCTCGCAGATGAACTGTTGCAGCGCCCGCTCTCCGTCGGCAAGCGAAAATCCACCTTGATGACGGGCTGCGTTCGTGGCGCGGTACGTGGCGTAGGCGCCAATCGCCCCCAACGTCAGCAATCGGTCGCTACGTTAATTATCGTGGACGCCAAGCCACCACGGGAGAAGCTATTCATCCGTGATGTTCAGCACGGTGGCATGGGCGCACCGGACGACCTGGCACCTCGCGTCGTGTTCCACGTTGTCCTGCGCCACCCCGCCACAACCAACCATGAAGAAATTGCGTGGGCCGTCGCGCTGCTGAAACCGCCGTGCGGTGCACCATCCGTTCCACGCGGTGCGAAACACAGCCGCGCGCACTCTCGGCGGGACCTGGTCCCACAGCATTAGGATGCATTCCAAGAACCTGCTGGCGACGACGCGTGGGGCATGACCTGGAGAAGAACAGCGAACGAGCCCCAGCTTGTGGCGCACGCGCATGTCAATTGCTGGCGCGTCCAATGTCCGGAGATGCGCTCGCACAGCCGCCTGAAAGCGGTGCCGCGCAGCCTGCTAGTGGTCAAGCGTCAGGGGCTGCTGGGGCGTGCCGCCAGCTCGGCGACGATGTCGTCGACGCGACTGCCATGGCCGCGGAGGTGATCTTCGTTGCGCTGCAGCACGATATAAGGGGCGGTTCAACCAAGTGGACATCCTTGCCACGCGCAGCATGAATGGAGACTGCGACCACTCGTCGCGAACTCGCCGAGTAAGCCTGTGGAGGCCTTCTGGTCCGAGGCCGCCGGCCTCATAAGCTACCACCCGGAGCTGGGCCGCCGGCGCCAGGACAGCCAGCTCTCCGAAGGCGTAAACCATCCCAGCAAGCGTGTCCAAATTCCACAAGTCATCCGGCATCGCCCACTGTACCAGACCTGGAGCAGCGCGACGGAAAGCCCCATCTTCGCCCTACTGGACACGCTCGTCCACGTCGGTGACTTGGGCAGAGAAGCTCAGGACGGGCAGGGCGTAGGTGCTGTATACGAAAATGGCGAAGTGTAGCCCGAGAGCCGACCACTGCCAGCCAGCCACGCAATCCCGAAACCGCGCCACGGCGTGCTCCCAGGTCTTGTCGACTTTGCCAGGGCCAATGAGACGACCCAGGTACCCTGCCTCCGAGCGGAGCGGCAGGGCGGCCCACCCTGGCATCGCGCGCACGATCAGCGCCTGCACGTCAGCGTGCTCGCCGTCGCTTAGCGGGATACCCACTGTGTTCTCGATGTTGACCTGCATGCCAGAGAGCTGCCCGAACTCCTTCAAAGCTGCCGCCTCAATCGGAAGTTGCGTCTCCACGTCATGCGGCACCACCCCGACGTCGTCTGCGAATGCCTGTACCAGGCATGTGTTGCCCAAACGGACCTCCAACACGCGAAGTAGCAACTCGATGCACGCTGCGAAGATCATGGGCGAGAGGGGGCAGCCCTGGCGGATACCCGATCGCATTTCAAAGCCTGGCCAAAGAGAGCCTCCGACCGCCACTTCGCACGCTCCGCCGCCGTAGAGAGCTCGGAGCACGGAGAGCGGCCCGCTCGGCACCTCGAGGCCTTGGAGGCAGCCTGTGAGGAAGCGGCGCGCCACGCTTGGGAACGCAGCCATAAAATCGATCAAGACTGCCATCCCCTGCCTGCGCGTAGCTGCAGTTGGAAGAGCCTTCGCCTCGATCTCTAGCACGTTGAACAGCATCGAACTCCCTGGCAGAAATCCTCCTTGCGATGCTGAGACTCAGAAGCCCAAACATTGCTCCCATGTGTGCTTGCATGCTGACGCAAGTAAGCGGTTAGACAAATCAACCAGCGACAGGGGTCACGTGGCTCCCGGGGCGTACGCTGCGCCCACGACCGCATCTATGTCGTTGCCAGAAATATGTGCGCGCGCTCGCTTGAATCGCAAGGAATCTCAAGAAAGCCATTGGTGTGTCACCATTCTGTCAATGAGACTACGCGGGCCACTTGAGCGCGCATGTCGAAAACGTTCATCCACTATGGCGCGCCCACCAGCTCCGTCAAATAATACCATGCGGACCACACGCGCGCGTCCGCCGCGCGCGCACGTCGAAATCGTTACAAAACCATTGCCTGTCACAGAGGTGTTCAAAAACATGTTCAACAGAAACAGATTTCAATGTCTGCTTTGTTTCCCAATTCACCATGGCAAGAGGGAGGATTCGCTGCCCCTCAAGAGGGTCATCCCTGCACCATGGACAGGGAAGACAACGCACCAGGCAAAAACAGAAATATCGCCCACACCAGGCGGGCGTTTGAATGTCTGCATGATGGGAAATCGCTAAAGCAGGAAGATCGCCAAAACCCTAAATATCACCCAGCAAACAGATCAGGATGTTTGAAGTTGTGCGGGCGCGCACGTTCTGATCATTATCATCCGCATAATTATTAGCA